GAGAGATATTTACACCCGCCAGCTTGGCTGTGTCCATAACCAGTCGGTTTGTTTCCTCGTTCGCACCTCCCTCAGGGATCCCGGTTATGTTGAGACACAGACGTCTGGAATACTGTTCTAGATTATTCAGTTGCTCTCGTGTCTCCTTTAGCTCTTCCTTTAGTTCCTGGATCTCCGCGTCCCTTTGAGCTAGTGCTTCTCGAACGGCTGCCGTGACAGCTTCCTTCACTTCTGTGCGGAACAGATCCTGGAAAGCTCCTTCTTTGATTGCACTGATCAGTGCACGCTTCACACTGTCCTCGTCCATGGTTCACAACAGCGCAGCCGCCGCCGCCGCCGATCAATCACAGCTCAGCCGTCAGCTCTATCAGCGCCCCGACTCGCCTCCGCCGCACCGCACCGAAACGCACACGCGGGACCCGGCGGGTAGTGGGCGAGAGCTCGCGCGCACGTCCGACCTCGGCGGCGGCCACAGGTCAACTGATTGTCATCGATGAGCGTGGCTGGCTTCATGCTGATAGCATGTACATGTATCACCGACTTGTATCGATTCACAAAATGTTAGCCACGTTTGATCCTACGGCGCTGTCGGCTAACCTGTCCATTAGACGGAGTGTACGAGTACACGGAAGAGACACCCGTAGCGGTGACATGCTGGTGACTCCCACGATCAGGTCGGAGTTCGGGAGGCGCCGCTTTCTCTACTCGGCTATAACTAACTATCTATCTGACTATAACGAACTGCCCCAGACATTGCGAGAGTCAACTCCGGTTGTCTTTAACCCGCGCCGGGCCGGTGCTCTGAGATTCCGCGCCGGGCCGTGGGGGGTGTCTGAACACCCCCCTTCTAACTCGGCTCCTGGGCCACGTAGCGACACGCGGTAAGCGACAATCGAAAGAACGTCCAAAATAAGGACGAAAGCAATTCGGTCATTTTTTGGGTCAGGTCAAAGGTCAGGTCACCAGAGGTCACCAAAGGTAAAATGTTGACTATTTCAACATTTTGGAAACTGCCAACGGCTATCTCGGGAACCCATAGAGCTACAGCGCCGCGGAAAAGCGCATTCGATAGCCCGTTCACAGACCTTTCTGAGTAATGTTTCAAGATTTGACCTCAGGTCAACGGTTTAGACCTTGAAAGGTCAACTTGAAAATTTGACCTCAGGTCAAGGTCATGACCTGTCCGAAAGTGTGTCATGTCAATCTTACCTACATCTCGATGTTTGAGAGTGTCTAGAATAGCGTTCGTGCAAAGCAGACGCTTTTCAATTTTCTCCCATTGAGTTATAATGGAGAGGCCGCAAAATTGACCTGAGGCCTGTTTCACTAACAAATTGAAATAAAGTGTGTAATTACAAAGAAAAAACTTGAGTTTAAAAGAAATAATTACCAACATTTGAAATTTGGATTTCACGAAACCTTTGGGCATGAATTTTGAGTTTAAAATTTACCAACTTTTTTACAAGAAAAAAGTTTGTAAGAAACATCGAAATCGCAAACTTTCTGTTTCACGAAGACCAAAAACTCGATAGAAAACGTTGTACTTACAAACCCGAAATTCCAGTGGCCCTTACGTTTGGAATTTTATTACTTTTTGTGCAATGATGCAAAGCAATCAATTATTTAAAACAAATATGATATGCTGAGTCATTATATGCTCTTTTTCACTTAGCACATTCCCTACGAACCAGCTACGAGCAATAAATAAATATCGTCATGTTTTGTCATTCGCGCGCCATAATTGCATTCAACAGTCTTCTGCTGTCAAATGTTTTAAGTGTTATTTTCTTTCAATAATAAGATATTTCTGAACTATCATTTATACCATTCAGAAATAGCATCATTATTTTTAATTTATTTCTGCAATTTCTGACATGAATACTAGACATAGTTTGATAAAAAGAAGCAATATCTGTAACATGTTATAGCTCTTGGCTAAAAACAATTTTACTGTTTACAAGTTTATTTACCAACTCTTTTTATCGGAGGTGCCGCTGGTGATGAAGTTTAGTGAAATCCGATTTTACATAGTTTGCAAAAATACTTATGAATTGTAAAGTTCAAACACTTGTAATTACAAGTTTTTAGTGAAACAGGCCTCTGACCTTAGATCACCGATATCAAAATTCCGAGATTAACATTTTATAGATAATGTTGCTCTAATCAATCGCTGAAATTTTCAAGGCAATCGATCAATCGGTGTAGCTATGACGAGCATTCTTATTTTTGCTGAGGTGAGGTCACTTGGCGTGACCTGGTGACCTGACCTAAGACGACCTGGGTCTGAAATTTTACAACATGTGCGGAAAAGATGCCCAAATAGGTGTGCCAAGCCGCCGTTTTTTTAGATATCTGCGAAAAACCGCAGAGGGGTTCAAACACCCCCCCCCCCCCGGCCCGGCGCGGGTTAAGCCCGCGCTCAGGAAGTTCTTGATAGAACACCAGCGTGAGCCCCAGCATGTCAACCATGGAATGTGATGCTGCATTTTGCGATGATGTAGTGTTGTTCCTGTTAGCATGTGTCAAGTATGTGCGTTATGTATTCTCGTTTCGCCAGTCCATTGCTATATGACGACACGAGCATGTAATAGCCGCTTGTTTTGACGGAATTGCTCACGATGTAAAATAAATGAATAAATAAATGGTTGAGAATAGATAAATAAGCTAAAATATTATTGTATCGGTACTCAAGGACCTTGCCGCTTTCTTCCAGTGGCATTGAGAGGAACAGAAAGTGGATGTTCTTGCGGCAACTTACCGGCACTTTTATTATTAGCGTTTTGATCTATAAAATGGTACATATTTCTTCAGCCAGTCTTACTGGCAAACTCAGTAGTTGTAGATGATGTTGGCTGTGCTGAAAAGTTGGGCCCAGCTTCATCCATTTTTTTATTTTGGTAATTTTTGCCTTTCTATACTCCCACTGTGCATTCCTGTGTTAATTTTCAACATATAAACTTATACTTTTTAAAAACCAGTTTGGAGATCAAAATGATGCTACATTAGAAAATCATTTTGAATATCATCTTACAAGTATTTCATTTTTGCATTGATAACATGGTGGCAAAGTCACCCCATGTGGCCTGCAATTCACTTGAAAAAATCGCCACCAAAAACTTTAGCTAAACTAAGTGACAAATGGCAATTTTGTTGGAAATGCTAATTTATCAATCTTGTCATGATCGACCATACCAAGTTTTAGCATCGCAGTTGGTCTAAAACATGGTTAGATAATGAAAAGCTTGGACCTCTTCAAATTTGACCACTTCAACGACTCCAATAAAATGGAGCCCAGTTAGGCATTTAGTGGTAACTTATATCTCAGTGTTGGTTATATTGGAAGGCCCATCAATTATCTTTTATTTGTGCATAAAAAAATATTACATTCTTCGTAAAATATCACTGGAGATCTCCCTAGAGCATTTTTCGAGAAGCATGGCAAAGTCACCCCGCAAGGCAAAGTCACCCCCGTTTACGGTACGACGTAATGACTTCTAACTGACATTATGTCAGTGACATAAAACCGAGCTATTTGTTATACAAATCGGTGAACTTAGCACATTCTGAAAGTTTAAAGGAAATCAGTCTAACCCTCGCCCGTATAGGGGGGTCGAACGGACCCCCCCCCCATGGTTTTTCGCGAATAACTCACGTAAAGAGCGGCTGATCGCGACGAAACTTTCAGTACCCTCGCGTTAATGAATTTTACACCTACCCTGAAAATTTCATGACCCTGACCCTAATGACCTTTGACCTGTGACCTACTTTTCGAGACCATGTTTGGCCGGAATCGCGATTCGGCGTATGTCGGCTCGCATTAGCCACGCGTTTGCAGTCCTTTCGTGGTTTCAAGCGTTCAAACATGTGATATGATGTTGCCCCCATGCATTAGGGTGGGTGTCAAGGTCACCTGAAGGTCAGGTCAGGTCATTGACCTTTGGTGACCTCGGTTCACTTTTTCGAGTTTTACATGTTTCTAGGCCAGTTTTTGGAGCTGAATTCGAATTTAGCAACCATATGAACATTTACGAAGTAGTTTTGGTGACTTCGTAACATGTTACGAAGCTGTCAGAGGCGGTTGACACCTACTAGGAATACCCGGCAGGACCTCTACTGGTTGACCTGACCTGACCTGACCCGACCTGGACTAAATGCATGAAGACATCATCTGTGATCAAAACTAACATGATATTCGTGATCAGCGCCCCGAAAAACCCCATAGCAGCCACACTTTACGACGTTCTAACAGGTCCCGATTTTCCGACTTTTGGGTCATTGATCTGACCTGCAAGGTCAACCAATGACCTAGGACCTTAAAATTAGGTATCATCGGCTTCCTCTCGTCACGGGCAACACGCTCGTTTTTTCCGCGAAGCTCTAGCTCGATCAGGGGCGAAACGGCAAGGCGGACCCCCCCCCCCCCCCTTATACGTTCGCGGCTGGAAAAACATCAATACGGGCGAGGGTTAAAACTGTGAGTTGGGCAGGTGCATAAAGAAACCATGACCTTGTACCGGTTTTTCTGACCTGGACTCAATCTTATAAACGCCGTGGAATGGATATGGCAGCACTGGCTGAAGTTCAGCTGCAGAAAACGACTTTCAAATGCAAAGTGGTTTTAACGCATTTCAGTCCAGCGTAATTTGATGGTCTAAAGAATCATTTCGTTGACCCAGATAAACATTTGTCAGCACTGGTATCACTGTGAATGTTACCAAATGCCGTAAATAGAATAGTACGACATTTTATAAGATTGGGCCGGGGCGAGGGTTAATACTTTATTTTCATCTGTATCCGATGTTTTAGAGCAGTATGTTGTTTGACCAAAAGAGGCTGATCTACTTTTGAAATTCAACAAGATCAAAGGCGCCATTTTTATGCATGCGAAATATCAAAATAAGGGTGTTTAAACACACTCCGCCCCGTTCAGGTTAGACAAGTGGACTGGACCTGGGCTTATTTCGTATGTATATATTCTGACGGTTTTTCCGTTTTCTCAGATATACGTATGGAAAGTCAGTGACCGGCAATGCCACAGTACACATTAAGACACCGAGGCACATCTACTGGGGCCCCTTGGGCTCCTGGAGGCACAGGCATGAACCGGATGTCGTCGTGGTTCGCCACAATGTAAGTCTTTCCTGAGTCGTTCATTTAGGTAACACCGTGAGTGATTGTTACGGTACTGTTTCTGTCAGCGCGCATTTGTAGATGCAATCATATGTGACAGATTTTTTTACATTCCGGAAGTGCATCAACTACTTTCAGCTTGTGAGGCGAGTGTTAAGTTTGCTCTCTCTCTCTCTCTCTCTCTCTCTCTCTCTCTCTCTCTCTCTCTCTCTCTCTCTCTCTCTCTCTCTCTCTCTCTCTCTCTCTCTCTCTCTCTCTCTCTCCTCTCTCTCTCTCTCTCTATCTCTCTCTCTCGCTCTCTCTCTCTCTCGCTCCCTCTCTCTCTCTCTCCCTCTCTCTCTCTACCACCCCCGTAACGGTGGGGTGAAGCCCAATTATCTGAGTTATTACAAGGCAGCCGCCCGGAGTGTGTGACCTGCAATGGCCTGCTGTTTGACTCGGCAGGTCACCGGTGACTCGCCGTGCGCCGAGTTTCGACTGAGCGCCGACGAACTGGGTCTCGGTGGTGACCAATATCCCCGGATAAGACGATATGAACTTTTTGCTGAACTGACCGAGGCCGGAACGGATGTCACTCTCGAAGCTACTAAGCAGTTCAAAGTGGAATACGACAGGCTAAAGCTGTCCACTGATTCCAGATATAACAAGTACTTTAAGCCAGGACTGCCTTTTCTTGATCAGGTAAGCATCCTGGATAATATCTTGCGCATTGAAGCGTCATTTAAATGTTTACGTAACTGCTGCTTTTCGTTCGCCCGAATAAAATTGCTAAGAAAAAATAGAACAGGATTTTGCATAACATTAGAAAATTCACCATATTTTTTTGGTTGTTTGAAACTATTCCATGTGAGGCTAAGCCATTAAAAATCGGAATGGTTTTTGTACATTTTCATTTCCCAAAAGGCTGTTCTATGCCACTGCTGTTGTTATTATCGTTGTTCTTGGACGCTGTATTCGTTGTTGTTGGACGCTGTATTCGTTGTTGTTGGACACTGCATTCGTTGTTCTTGGACGCTGTAGGTATTTGTTGTTGTTGCAGACGCCAGCCTCACAGACAATCGTTCCTGAACTATATGCAGCTGTTGGTCGGATGACATATCTTTACATGAGCGTCACAATGTTTCTTTGTTTACAGTTGTGAACGTAACTGCTACTCTTGTGCTGCATGCATATCTTCCAATGAAGTACAATTTTATGACTATTCGAGCAAAAGCGTGATAACTTTTTTTGTCAATGCATACAGCACTGCAAGTACAGCGCTTCCAGCATTGCGTGCTCCTTGTTTCAGATAAAGATATCTCACCCAGATGGAAGTCCGGCACCCGGGGAGCTCGTCCGTATCTGCTTCCACAAAGACGAGTAAGTAGCGCAGTCCGCGGCCGAGTCCGTACTTTTAAGGACTCACAAGGACAGGACTGCCGCTAAGTGAAATTTGTTGCGTTGATCCTTTTGTGTACCCTACGATCGCGCAGTTCTAAGGCAGAATTTGGAGTTAAAATTTCCCCGTACTCACAATTACAATTATTGTTAAAATTACTTACAATTAGGTCACAATACAATTAATTACAATTACAATAAAATTGAGTTACAATCACTGGTCTCTCTGCTCACTTCGGTCGGACAAGGCCACCAACCACAACCATACCTGTCAGCAGGCTCATAAAGACCGAGCGCGCACATCGCGCTTCGCACCCGGACTTTTACGAATGGGTCTCGTGCTCTCAATACACGGGACACGGAGTCTAGCGCCCTTACCGGCTGAACTACGGCACCGGTAGACGCGGCAAATGTCATCTTCTGTTTATTTCTCAGTGACCCATGAGCTGAGACAGCGCGTGCGATGGTGCACCATCACCCACCTTGTTGTGCTATACGACTTAACTACCACCCTGGCGCGACTAAAGCGAAGTCGGCTCTGTCACCTTCAGCGTGATCATAAAACTTTCTGATGGTGCCGGCAGGGAGAGAGACAACTCAGTCTGCGAAGAAGCCTCTTCAGACTACAGTGGCTTGGTGAGGTTCGCCATCCCAGCTCAGAGTCAACGGGTGAATAAACTCCACATTGATGTAAGTAAACCGGGCTGTCTACGGCGACGATCAGTGTGCTGGGCTCACTTGCCTTAAGGCTGAGCTACACTATGCGTGACCGTCCAGGAAATTAAGTGCGTGATCTTGATTGCGAGACTCCCTTGACATCGGTTTCTGCGATTTTCCAGAATTTCCGTGAATTATTGTATTCTGACGTAATAATAACAACTAATAAATGGTTTCGCATCAAACGCTTTATTTTGCTATCTTCTATACTCTTTTATTAATGATAAGTTTATTTTGTTAATAAAACATCAAAAACTCATTAAAATTAAAGAAGCAATTATTAATTACGTCACTTGCATTCATACGGTGCGCCACCAAGTGCGCCAACAACTGTCTCATATCACGCAATCTCGCAGATTCTGCAAAAAAGTTCGTAGCTCTGAACTTTATATCGGTACGGCACATCCTGACCGTCCTGACTATCCGGCATTTCCTGGACTGAACGTCCGGGATTTCCTTGACCGAATCTGCGTGACCCCAGTGTAGCCGACCGTGTGTATTTTCTATCAGCTGAACTTGACCTGCGTACCGATTTTCTGCAAAACCCGCAAACTCGCAGATCACGGACGTAGGATCCCGCAGAGTGTAGCTAAACCTTTACGATATTATGGGTCATTAACTGTTTTAAAACGCTCAACCCGCGCCGTGCTGGAGCGCAGTGCTGCTGCAGGCACCGCATGCTAGGCGGCGTTTCAACCACCTTCTCTTTTTCTTGCAAATATTTTAATTAAATTTGATAAAGTCGTCACGATTCCGATTATAATTGATCATTAAAAAACGAAACATTTGTTTATCTAAGTTGTGTTTATCAAGTGTTTATCTCAGTGTTTATCTAAGTTGAACATCATTGGAGAGTATGATCGTGATCTATGTTGTAGGAACATTTTACATTGCAAAATGTACAGTGTGTTAACCCGCGCCCCAGTGGCGGTCTCAGCCAACTTCGCCCGAGTGTGGGGGGGGGGGAGGGCATATGTTACCACCCACCTCTAACTCAAAAACTAAGAGGGCTAGAAAGACGCGGTAAAAAGCAGTCGATAGCTCTCAATGCGTACGTTTAAAAGTATTCAGTCATTTTTCATCTTAGAGCATTATTGGGGTCACCAGAGGTCATCAAAGGTCAAAATTTGCCAATGGTCATTATATTTTTCAGAAAAGATGCCGTTATCTCAGGAGCTATGGTAGCTAGAAAAACGCATGCAAAAGTAATCGATAGCTTTTGATCTCTTCTTTTGATGAGGTCATTATCAAAATTGACCTCAGATCAACGGTTTAGCCTCCGGAGGGCAAAAACTTCAAAAATAGCTGTTTTTACGAAAAGTGTTTTTCGACAATAACTTTCGACTACAAAAAGCCACGACATTTCTATTGCCAGAATCGTGTTTCTCTCGCCGAGACGCGTCGAATGAACTATAATTTGACCTTGAAAGGCCAACTTGAAAATTTGACCCCAGGTCAAGGTCATGACCTGACTGGAAAAGGCCATGTTGCATATCAGTCGATGCGTCTCAACAAGACGAACACAATGAGACCATCCCCAGCGTTCTATCTCTTTCCAGTCGCGAGTTATTGGCAAAAAGCTGTTTGTAGCCTCAAATGACCTCGGATGACCTTTCTAGAGGCTATCAGCAAAAATGACACCTTGGTCATCACGGGTGGTCCAAATCATTGTGATTCTGAAATAGTTGGACTGTTCCTATGCGTACACACGGATCTAGAGGCATTTTCGTTTTTCTCCATTGACTTGTAATGGAAAGGTCACGCCACTGACCTGACCTTAGGTCACGGATATAAAAAATCCGAGATATACAAATTGTAGGCGCCCATAACATTATGCAATCCACCAAGTTTAAAACCTTTCTGACAAACACTGCAGGCTGGACATGACTGCAAACTTTTCTTTAGGCTTGGTCAGTTAACTTGACCTGGTGACCTGACCTGACATGACCTGGGGTCAAAAATTTCACACATTGTCCAAAATTGATATACCAAAAGCTACCTCAAGCGGCGCGGCGCTCCGCGCCGCGGTTTTTTAGTAACACGCAAAAAACGCGACAGGGTGGTAACATATGCCCCCCCCCCCCCAACTGGGGCGAAGGTTAATGTAAGAAACAGTGATATGTAGTTATGCATATTGTGCATTTATAAGGGTGATTATGCATACTGCATACATGATTTCGCGAAGTCAAAGATAAACATGTTGTCATGTGCTTTTCTTATGTTTTAAGGCTAGCGTCCCTAAGCTCAAGAGTGGAAGACACAACGAAAACAAAATACAGGGTCTGTCCTATTCGGTGACGGGCTGGGCGTCCAATTCGGGAGCGTTCCTACAACTGGCGAAGATGTCCGACGTGCAGTTCCGCTGCGGTTCTACTGCCGATATACCGCTGCTGTTCACTGCTCGGCTGGACTCCAAACTCGAATTGTTCTATCAGGTACGCAACCTGTCTTGTTTAGGCCTATAAATCACTAGAACATGCATCAAAAAATATCACAAAACTAGTCACTGTGCTTACTGTTCCTACTTTACGAGGCATGTGTCACCAGCATCATGCCAGAGACGTTAAGCAAATGATTCTGAGAGGGTATTTTCAGCTAAGCGCTGTAACAAGTCAGTTTGTCCGTGTTACCCCCAGTGTCCGCTCGGCCAGTTGTGCTGTGTCCCGGTAGATCGTTTGCATGCGTGTTACCCCCCGTGTCCGCTCGGTAAATTGTGCTGTGTCCCGGTAGGTGATGGCTCGCGGAGATCTCAGTCCGGCTGTCTCCGTACCGGTGACCTTTGACCAGGCCGTCGACCTGCCAGCCTCCGTCCTGGATGGTGTCACCGTCATCGGCTCGCGTTCCTCTAACGCCCGACCCGCAGGTCAGTTGGGTGCGCTAGGTCAGCGCAGTGCCCCGGGTCAGTCCAGTGCCAGGTGCCTCAGGTCAGTCCAGCCCCGTGAGGAATCCTAAATAATTCACTTCTTTGAGGTGCTTGGGGGATGGAACACTGTTGGTTGGTATGAACATTGAGAAAGACGCAGCAGGCTACAGGTGGATCGATTGGGACGCCGTCATAGCCCTCATAGCCGCGGGAGTTACGGGAGTTCACGAAGGTTCACAGAAGTTAAGCCTTCAATGCTCACAGGAGTTTATAGAAGATGCACTGATCGGGAGCTCGAGCGCCTCCGACTTTCCGGCTGGGCTGGGGCTGGGAGATTTTCGAATATGTGTAGGTAGGCATTTGAGCCCGTGCCCCAACTCGATGCATATATGCAAATCCCGTGATAATCAGGCTTACCAACTCTTCTCAAAATGAGGATCAGCACAATCACCATGGGTGGAGAACCTGCCCCGGCCACCACGGCCGTGGCCGGGGTAACTTTCAACCAACCCCGGTCCGGCCGGGGTAACTTTTTCACTCCGCTCCCGTTTTTCGGCAATACCTTCTTAACTACATGACATATCGACGCCACACTTTCAGTACCTTCGGCTGCAACAATTTGACACTTTGTGTCGAAATATGAACTTCGCAGCTACCATAGGTCGGCCGGAAATGACGCCAGAGTGACGTCATGTTCGGCCGATTTCGGGGCAAAACATTGAACCACGGCAATCGCTCCCAAGAGTTCAGTTTTAAGCTAGATCCAATTTCTTTGCATGAGAGGACTTAGAATAGGCTGCGCTATTATAAGCCCATCTCGGAGTTTAAAAGTTTTGATTTTTTTGAAAATTATATGTATTAAAATTCAAAATTTATATTTTTACATTTTTTTCAAAAAGTTTCTGACTTTTCGAAAACAAACAGAATATAGGTGATAGAACACATGCCTATGACAAACTCTAGCAAGTTTTTGCCAGATATCTTCAAAAATGGTCAAGTTATAAGATTTATAGCGAAAAGATTCAAAACGACCTAAATTTTTCAAATAAACTTTTCAGTGCGTATTTGACATCGTACACCAACATAAATAGCACCATCGTGTTCCTGAGCTCACACTGCATCCGATAGATAACTTTTTTATTGGAAAATGTTATTTTTTAGATTTGACCTTTTTTTATATGAAAGTTACCTGACCTAAGCTAAATTCAACTCAAAATGACCTCGAATGACACAAACGACATCGAATTTGAAATCTATGGCCTAAATGGACCATAAAACATGTGTCACGTGACCGATGCATGATAAAAGATTTCCGTGACCTGTGATGACCTGACCCTGACCTGAAAATCAAAGCACAAGTTTAGTACCCTCAGGATATCTTAAGTATCTGTTATCGAGTGCGTAAACCAAAAATGAGCCTGATCTGACTCGTAAGCCGGCGGCCAGAGCCCATAATGTGAAGAAGCCAAACATTGATAATTTTTACTTTGACCTGACCTGTAACGTCATCAGTGACCTCGAGGTCAATGAAATTAGATTTCGTTCGACAGCTTTTCCGGGGCTATCAGATACCGTTTGAATTTTGACGATCGGTTCAGTATTTTTGGAGTTTGAAGGGGTGGTTATGAAGAGCCCTCTCCCCCCTCCCCCCTCCCCCCAGTAGGGCGCGTTATACGCAGACCCCAGTGGGGTGCGGGTTAACCTTCCAGGCGGTGGGGGGGGGCATTTTTTGCCCCCCCCCCCCCTTAGTTTTTTCGATATATCTCGAGAATCGCTGCGCCGATCGTCACCAAACTTTCAGTACCCTCCCGGGAGCAGCTAGCGCACATGGTGACCAAAATTTTTTTCCAAAGGCTGTTATAGGTTGGCCGCTAATGACGTCAGAGTGACGTCATTTTTGCCATTTTCGACCCAAAAAAGGTTTCGCGGGAGAGCTGTCAGGCCTACAGCTTTAGAGATACAGAAAAATATTTCGGACATAAAAGGTGTGGAAATAAAAGTGCTACAAAACTGCTTTTTTGGTTTTTCGAATTTTTTGGATTTTAACCCCCAAAAATCAAAAAATAGATTTTTTGAATATAATAGCCAAAAAATCCAAAAAGTTTTTTTTTTAAATTTCGAAAAACCGGAATATGTGTGATAGCCCCTACCGCCTTCTATCTACATACCAACTTTTAGATCGATACCTCTTTTTTTGGCCAAGTTATAGCGAGAAAACTGTTCAAAATTAATGACATCAAATTTTCAAACTCAATTTTTAGCAATTCTAGACCTCGTAGCGCAAAACAAAAACCACCATTAGACTCCCCGTGACGAGTTGCATCGAATCGATACCCATTTTATGCAAAAATATCAACTTTAAAATTTGACCTTTTTTGACCTGACCTTGACCTGACCTCCACCAGAAAGTGACCTAAACCGTACCTGATGGTCTAATAACCAACACCACTGAGTTGGAAATGAAAAACTGGCCATAAAACATGCATCGCATAACCTTAGTAAAGTTGGGCTCATGAGGTGACCCTTGGTGACCAATTGGTGACCTGACCTGTGACCTGACCTGGTATGACCAGTAACCTTTAATAGCAACACATGTACTAGACACCTGACGCCTTATCGCTGATTTTCGACAAAATGCGTTTTACTCGGTGTTATAGCGCTTTCCCTAGAAGCCCCGTGAACGGTGAAACATTTTATCTTTGACCTGACCTGTGACGTCATCGGTGACCCCGAGCTCAATGAAATTTGGTTTCCCTCGACAAATTTGACAGGGCTATCGAACACCGTTTGAATTTTCTGGATGGATCCGTCCAGTAGTTTCGGAGATACGGGGGGGGGGCAAAAAAGTGCCCCCCCCCCTCCCACCGCGCGGAAGGTGGCTGGTAGGCCCACCGCCTGCCGGGTTAAGGAAAATGGAGAATTTTTTTACATTTTGACGTCAAGTATAATAATTTCTGCCCGGTCATGAAGTTTCATACCAGCGACACGCTGACATATGCAAACGAACGCGCAGACGGTCCCGCGGTGATTTTGCTGACAATTGGTGTCGGGGCGGACGACTGCGTGGAACGTGATTTGCAAACTCTATTTTAGTGGTTGAAAATTATTCAGATGTAGTTACGAGCAAGCGAGCGCAGCGAGCGAGCGAGTTCATACTGAATTAAGGGAAAATCCTGAGTATGAGCGGCCGGCCGGCCGGCCGGCCGTGGGGACGCTCTTCAAAAGCTAATATCTTAGGAACGGGACATCCGATTGACAAGCGGTCTTCTTTACTGAATGTCACTTGGACGTAAAAGTTCTGTGGTGTGATGGCCACCATGCGTTCTTGCCAACCACCGCACGTGGCGCGTGGTAAAGTTGGACATTTTTTAAGAACCCCCAAAATTGCAACCTCAATAACGGCACAACGGTTGGGCCGATTGAATTGAAACTCGGTACACAGTTAGCTCTCCATCAGATAATTCATCTGCATATGTTAAGGTTGGGGTGCTACTGCACGAGCGCACGTGCAGAGGGCGCTCCCAGATCTCGAGAACGGCTGGGCCGATTGCGCTCAAATTTGGTACACGGTTAGGGAACAGTTAGTAGGGTGCCGTGCACAAGTCAGTTGGGACCCATTTTGCACGTGCGCACGTGCAGGGTGCCGCTGCCAGATCTCGAGAACGGCTGGGCCGATTGTGCTCAAATTTGGCACATCGCTAGAAACCGGTCAGTAGGGTGCCGTGCACCAGTCAGTTGGAGGTACCCCCTCAAAATTTCGCACGTGCAAGACTCACCCCCTCGCTCGCTCCGTTAGTCGCCCCCAAAAGGCGCTATACTGGTCTTATTATTGTTGCGTCGTGAGGCGTCGGATGTGATGCGTGTTGATGAAAAAAGCCCGTGAAAGACGTCGGTGAAATCCTTCGCAATTTTAGGTACGCCGTTCCCATAATAAGGAACGCTGGCAGCGCCAGTGTACGACGGCGTTCCCAAATTTGGGCACGCGGCCCGGGCGGTAGACTGCTTTAGAAATGGGGAAACGATTTGAAACTACGCTGGGCTTGACAATATCAAAACTATTTCCCAACAACATTGAGACAAATATCAGGCGGCTCACAATCGTTATATATTTTTTGGACGTCATTTAACGGTTCTTCTTCTTGTTTTAGATAATGCCTACATAGCGTTCCCATATTTGGGTTTTTCGTTCCCAAATATGGGAACGAAAATGCGTTCCCAAAAATAGGCACCGGTCCCCGCCCTTTGTCAGCAGGTCTGACCCGGCCCCCTGCCGGCTGTCCGCAGACTTGACCCGGCCCCCTGCCGGCTGTCCACAGGTCTGGTGACGCTCGCCGTTCCTGTGACACCCGCCATGTCCACCGGGTTCAAGGTGCTCGTGTTCGCGGCCGTTGACGGCGAGGTGATCGCGGACAGCGCCCAGTACAAGGCCGTCCCGTGTCTGGAGAACACGGTGCGCGTCAGCTGGGCTCCGGACCGTGTTCAGCCCCGGCGGAACACCCGGCTGACCGTCTCCGCCGCCCCCGGCTCGCTCTGTGGAATCGGTACGTTATGTGCGAGCCAGTGAGACGCATTGCTTTGGTGTGTCGCTGTGCACAGGACTCAGACCGCCAGATGTTTGCATGGGTATCGGAAGTATCTAGAGTAACATGATGTGTGAACACTGAATATGTTGGAGCGTTAGGCTTCTTTTCAGGAAAAATATTGGTTTATTGACAATTCTTTTGGTAGCCATCAGTTAAGGACAGGTATTCTAGTTATTTTAATTCAACGCACGCTTTCGGTTCTCAGACTTTGTTATTTTCGCTTCTTTATTAGTTATCTGTTATTTATTGTTTTCGCATATAATTTTTTCTGTTTTTTATTGTTTCATTTATTGTTTAGCTAGAAACGAAAACGATACACATTATATAATTAAACAGCGCTATTGTTTACACTTTTATTGCAGATGTAGTGGACAAGTCTGTTCACCTTCTAGGAACCGAAAATAGAATCACTCTGAGCAGTTTCTTTGATCGGCTGAAGAAACTAAATCTTGGCAGGCATGACGGCCCGTCCCAGAAAGACGACCAGGCCTACTGTTCAAGCAAGCGTAAGTTAATAGTGTTTGATATATACATATATATTTATTTACATATATTTATATATATTTATTTATTAGGGTGGTCCACGGTCCACATTTACACGGTAAAAAATACAGTTCGCTAGATTTATCGGGCCGGGTCGGAATTCTTGTCGATACTATAGCACAAGCTTCTGTGCAAAATTCATTAAGATCAGATGATTTTTCCCGTCCCGCAAAGCGGTAAAAGTTTCCGTTATGCGTACCAGCCTTTAGTATACACTGAAAACTAAAATGATTCCGGGGGGGTGATATTAGGAGAATGGTCTAAAACGAAACCCCAATTATTCCCGTAATATACTTCAAGTAGCACCTTTTTGGCCTTAGATACCCCCAATAACCCAACATTATTACCCTAATATGCCTGTTGGGTGGCTAAGTGGAATCAAAATGATTATCTGGTTATGCCTCCATTATTCTTACGAAATGCCTAGTGTATTCCCCCTGATTCTCCTCTATGCCCCTTTGATGCCCCCTAGCATAGTTCGGATGCTCCGTCTAAACCCGATCTATGCTCCTTTGATGCTATCTATATACCCCATTGATGCTCCTTTGATGCTTGCTATAAACCCCATTGATGCTCATTTGATGCTCTCTATATACCCCATTGATGCTCCTTTGATGCTCTCTACACAGTGACGTACCGAAGGGGGGGGCCACGGGGGCCAAGGCCCCCCCTGAGCGCCGAAGGCGCTCAGGGGGCCCTTCAGGCCCCAGGATATTTTTTAAACACTGGATAAAACGTCTTTTACTCGGAAGAAAAATTGATATTAAAGTTTCATTTATGTGCCCTGGGTACCCGAGGGACCCCTGCAGTCATCCAAGGGCCCCCAGTTTCCTGGGCCCCTGGTCGCCTAGGGGCCTCTGGTAGCCGGGGGCCTGGTCTCATGGGGGCCCCTGATAGCATGTGGCCCCTAGTCGCCTAGGGGGCCCTGGTCGCATAGGGGCCTCTGGTCGCATGGGGGCCTCTGGTCGCATGGGGGCCTCTGGTCGCATGGGGGCCTCTGGTCGCATGAGGCCCCTGATCGACTGGGGGCCCCTAGTTGCCTAGGGGGCCCTGATAGCCGGGGGCCTGGTCGTATGGGCCCCTGATAGTCTGTGGCCCTTAGTAGCCTAGGGGGCCCTAGTCGCATGGGGGGCCTCTGGTTGCATGATATTGAGGCCCCTGATCGCCTGGGGGTACCTAGTCGCCCAGGGGGCCCCTGGTAGCCGGGGGGCCTGGTCGCATGGGGCCCCTGGTTGCCTGGGGCCCCCGGTCGCCCCTAGTCGCCTTGGGCCCCTGGTAGCCTGGGATCCCCTGGTCGCCTGGGGGCCCCTGATCGCCTGAGGGACGCTGGTCACCTAGAGGGCCCCTGGTCGCCTGGGGGCCCCTGGTAGCCGGGGGCCTGGTCGCATGGGGCCCCCTGGTCGCATGGGGGCCCCCTGGTCGCCCCTGATCGCTTTGGGGACCTGATCGCATTGGCCCTTGGTCGCCTGGAGGGCCCTGGTCGCCTGGGGCAGTGGGGCCCCTAGTCATCTGGAGGACCTGGTCGCCTGGGAACCCCTGGTCGACTGGGGGCCCCTGGTCGTCTGAAAGTACGCTTATCACCTGATTGATCCCAAATCATCTGAGTGGCTACTGGCTACTGGATATAAGTAGTGACTGGAGTAGGCACTCATCTGAAGGAGCCAATATCTTTCACGGTGCCGGAGATATCACAGAAAAACAAAAAGGCTAAACTGAATACCCCCCAACCTTGGCCCCAAAGGCGTCATTGGCTAACACAGGGATGTGGGTCGATTTGCAATCGCATTTCCTCCTAAGTCCTATTCCTCCAATTAATACAGAGTGTCCCAGAATTACCCAAGCATTTATTTTCTGGCTAAAAGTACAATGGCGCTCGTTTCCTAGTGAAACATATAATAGCCGCGTTTACATAGGGCTAGTTGCCAGATAGTGGAATTCCGATAACGAGACATTATTTATTTACTTGGTGGTGCTTTGCGTGGACTACAGGCCAGACCGTTGCACCTAGCGCGGTGAAATTTGCACAACTTATAGATCAAGGATGCGCGACGTGCCTTTGAGGGGTCTCAGCTCGATCGGACTGATAGGGAGCGCGTGGCGCGTGCTCAAAAAGTGCAAATTCGCGTCATAGACTTTACATGTATAAATCGGCGTGCGAAATCGAGCGAAAACGGCTAATTTTGGCCGACACGGGTCCGGTCCCCGTGCAATATCTTGGTGACCAGGGGCCCGATCGGCACGGGGAAAACAGCATCGTGTAGATAATTTAACGGGCTATCGAAAGGTGTGTGTTGCAGGGGATGGCACGCGCCACGTGCACCGGTGAGAGCACTTTTATGTGGAAAATTGACGTTTTGGACGGATTTTGGAATTGATTTTATTTTTAGGTGACCGTTAAACGGAGCGAGTTGGAACAACGCCTGTTGGCAAGAGAAATGTACCGCCTCTGATATAAAAATTGTGAAAAGCTGATTGATCCAAATCAAGGTGGTACAAATCACGGGAGAAAATGGTGTTTGTCAATTTTGTGTCACTTTATAAATCACACGGGTTTTGCTCCATGATCTGATATCTCTGGCAATTAAAAATGGCACCGTTGGAAAGAGTATTCAATTCTGTCCATTATTCACTCTTCATTTTTGCATGACGGGCAACAGTATTCTTAAAAATGTAAATGTTCCAAACCATTACATTGTCATTTTTAGCGAAATTCATCGATGGCCCTCAAAAGACTTCACGCCAGTTTTCGAATCATTCTAAAGTAGAACGCATGATAATACGACACGGGCACCTCGGTGCGATGTATCTTTTTTTGTTTTATTACAAAATGCTTGGCCGTCAAAAAGCAATCGAACGAAATGGATACCAGCCAAATCGACACAGACCAATTCAATACCCACGGGTCACAAATAATCCTTCTTCGCGTTGCGGAGCACGCGGGTAACCCTAGTTCCCCACTATTATATTATATACCTACATATCCGGAATTGGAGGATGTTCAGTACCTAATTGAGGCGCTCGCTCATAAAATGCCGTGCGTTTCATGCACACTCCTCAAGCAAAAATATTTCTACTTTCCAATTTTCCACATTTTCTCAAGGCTTAGACCGTTACAGAGACCGTTTTAATTGACTTTGATGAAGTTGAACGCGAGAAATCACAACCAAATGCTACATTAGGTTGTAAAGAACTGAATTGCGTTTTCCCACACACGTGGCGTTTTCTCACCTACGTCTGCAGGAGAGACCGGACCCACTATGCCCCCCCCCACCATCGAAAGGTTCTTCATGACTCCCGGGGGCCCCCGGGAAACCTGGGGGCCCTGTACACTGCGGGGGCCCCTTCGAAAGCAGGTGGCCCCCTCCTGGGCGAAATCCTGGGTACGTGCCTGTCTCTACATACCCCATTGATGCTCTCTATATACCCCATTGATGCTGATTTGATGCTCTCTATACACCACATTGATGCTCCTTTGATGCTCTCTATATACCCCATTGATGCTTCGTTCCGCAGTGGCGGATCAAGGGATGGGCTCGCGGGGTCATGCTATTTCTCGTGAGATCCCCATGAGATACCTAGCGCACTGATTTCTTTACCCACACAAAGGTAAGAGACGCCATTTATGTAACCACCTTCGCCCTTCCTCTGAATTTCCTGGATCCGCCCATGCCATCAACGCTCAGCCACACCAACAGGAACCACGATACGCTTGTGTGTATAAGAAAAACGTACTGTATTGATTGGAAAGACAACTCCTCTGCATTCATTTCAAAATCACAGCTTCCTAGTTGCCAAGAGACATGCAATTCGTACTATCCATATTAAACATACGTCACGCACACGCCTCATATAACAAATTCCACATCACATGTTGAGATCCAGGCTGTAAAAAAACACATGACACACGAGAAGCGCCGCTGGCTCTTCTACGATGATCGTTCTCTCTTACGAATGAGTCGCAAAACAACCGGTGCCCCTTCAAATGGCGTGGTTTTTCCCACCTTTGCTACACAACGAAAGTTGAGCGTGTGGCTCCTACGAGTTCCCCCTCCCTGACCTCAAGGAAGTCCGACAACGTAGCCCAGGGGCTGCCACAGGATGTCAACAGGCCCGCCCATGCCGCTTGTGACCCCTTTCCCTGTGGGGCGGGCCATCACGTCCGTCTCCATCATCTCCGTCCATCACTCCGTCTCCACTCCGCCCCTGGGCTTACCTCACTGCGCGGGCACACTATGCTGTCAGCACCGACAGATTTTTCAGCGCGTCCGCCGTCGCTGTTGACTCTGCCGGCAGCCCCATGATGTCGTGGACGATGAACCACATCGTGGAGCGCGATGCACGGGACACTTTCTGGTTGAAGACGTAGTGGGCGACCCCGAAGAGAAGGAGTGCCTCTTCAAGGCACTGGGCGCTGGCCACCACTGTTTCTTCGACCACGATGTCGACCATTTCATCGTCATATGAGTTCCTGCTAAGGATGGTACTCACCCTCAATAAGGCTCAATTCCAGCCTAAAAATGGCACCACTCGCAACCACACAGCACCCAACACCGCTCTTCACTGATCACCGGAAATGGCGGAGAAAAATGGCGGACCTTTGGCGCGTTCCTGATGCTTCCAACGAAGAATCATTGAGGAATAATATGGTTCTACTCGGGTGATATCAAGAGTATTTTGAAAGAATCAGGCAAAGGAAGCATAACAGAAGAATATGAAAGCATCTCAAGGGAATATGAGCCTCCCTGTGATTCCGGCAAGATACCCTCTGGGCAATGAAAGGGTATATTGCAAGAATAGATAGAGAATCATAAAGGCATAACTATCAGCGACTGGGGTATCAACAGCATCTTATACGCACGGAATCATGCAGAATAATTTGGGGTATCAATGGCATAATATGGTTCTCACAGAGTGATATCAAGAGCTTATTAAGAGAATCAATAATTCATGGAGGACGAGGGAATATCATGGGAATATGAAGCCAATTGCGATTCCATGAATATACCCCATAGGTATAATGAAGAGATCAAAAGGGAATAATTGGGGTATAGACTTCAATGATCAGGGCATCAGGAGATTCATTTTGGTTTTCAGTGTAGGGCGAATATTTGTCATTCAACATTGCCTAGTCCGGCCAGCGGCTATCTACAGAAGAGCTTACCTGCTCAACGCACCAACCCTCTCTAGCCTTCTCAATGATAGATATAGTCTTCCTATCAGCCACAGGCATGAACGATAATCCACAGTTCCTGTTGCAGTTCCTGTTCTCAGTGCCAGGAGCAAAGCCCTATATGCCAGGAGGTGCGATATGCATTACGCTAGTTACGGTTTTGCCTGCGTCTGGGACGGCCGCTGAAGCTGCAAGAGGCACACGCTCAATCACCGGAATGTGGCTTATCGGCAGCCAGAAGCAACAGAGTCATGGGTCTCATCATGAGATCGATGCAAACCGGTCACAAGGTCAAAACATTTAGCTGGAAGCCCATTTTAACAGCATTTTATGGTAACGTTAGAGCAATTCTCGAGTATTGTTGTGTTATTTGGGGAGGTGCCGCAAAAACGTACCTGGACAGAATCGAAAGGGTGCAACAACGTTTCTTATATTGGCTATATTGTTATACTCGATGTCAAGACTCATCATCAGCTATTGATTACAGTGACTTGCTGCGATTATTTGGCGTCGCATGTCTAGAGAATAGGCGTCGACAATATGACATTATGTTTGTTGCCAAATTGTACAAATAAAAATTGTGTATAAAAATCATACTGATTGTGCAGCCCTTTTAGCCCATTTCCCTCTACTTATCGCGCCAAGGGCAACGAGAAACACCGAACAAGCACGTGGTGTCTTTCATGTTCCATTTGCGAGAGTAGAGTCGGTGCAGAGGTCACTTTTTGTTAGAGTTCTATCGTTTGTTAATAAGTTTTTGTTTCAGTGTACTGATGCTGATGTACTCCATGACTCATTAAGGGAACTTAGGGCCGATGTGTCAACATATATAAAAGAATTGTAAAATTCTTTCGTAGTTGCAGTGTTTTTGTCCCATTGTTTGTGTGTAACATTTGACTGATTTGAGTGCTTGGACATTAAATGGGCCCACGTATGCCTGTTGTCCTTGACCCCAAATAACTAAATAAATAAAATGAGTAAAAAGTTATTGCACAAAAACTATTTGGGGTAAAAACGCACACTCCGCGGATTTCGCCCCCTGTAGACCAAAATGGTACCTCCATCCAGACGATTATATATATATATATATATATATATATATATATATATATATATATATATATATATATATATATATATATATATATATATATATATATATATATATATATGCTTTTCTTGCTTATGATATATGCTTTTCTTGATATGTTAAATGCTAAATTAAAGGTTTCCAATGACCAGTCTTCTCAATATCCTATAGGAAGAGCGCCATTTTACGTTAATATAAGTACGACTTTTGGTGTGTTTTAGTTCAGTAAAACGTCTACGCTCTACATATAACAATTGCGTCGAGGTATCTAGCCATGGACAAATTGGACATGTGCCATGACTATTGGCTAGATACCTCGACGCAATTGCTGTAGAGTGTACGCGAAATGGCATATGTAGATACATACCTTGAGATTGAGAAGCATCCTTGTCAACCCTTGTCGGGGTCTTTTTACGTCAGGTAAAGAGGCCGTCAGGTCACCAGAGGCCGTCAAAGGTCAAATGTTGTCTTATTCGCAAAAAAAAACCTGAGGGGGCATGAAAACGCCTCCCCCTCCATTACGGCGCGGGTTAACTAGTTATGTGAGTCGGGTTTATTTTGTACGACATATGATTATCATTGCTGTGCATCTCGCTAGGTTTTCAAAAGACATTTATTTCACTTTAGCAAATAGAGACTTTGTTCAATATCTTTTAACGAAATAATCAACCATAATCTTTCAGGACTATAGCTACAACTATGTTTCAGCTGCGACATTGACGCCTGGCATTTTTTGTTTTTAGATGGTCAACTCTCAGAAGATCATGAGCTGATTGGTAAGTGATGATGATAAAACTGGTTTTTAATGCCCCGGCCGCACCCTCACCCCCACCCCATCTCAGGTGCACTCAGCGCCTTCTTCATTAATACTAGACTAGACTGGCTAAAAATTCAAACGGCATCATTTTTTCCTTTTTAAGGACGCATCAGTTTGAAGTACCTACCCGCGTGCAGATTATCCCGCGCCCCGCTGGGGGGGGGGGGGGCAGAATCTGCACCCCTCCCGTTTTTCGCCAATAACTTCTGAACGCGTTACGCCAGCGACGTCAAACTTTCAGTACCTTATCATACATCAACTTGACACGTTCCCTGAAAATTTGAGCGAAGTCCGTCGGATTTTTTTTTAGAAATTAACGTTTTATTGACGTCATGTTCGCCATTTTCGCCTCAAAAACGGCAAAATTTCAAACGCCGCTAACATCTTCATTTTTAAAGGAATCAAGACGTAACAAAAAAGGGTTATACGTGATACTACTTTCTCTATCAAATAGCTATCTCGTTTTTTTTTTGAAAATTTTGGATTTTGGCCCAAATTTTTTTCTTAAAAAACTGACTTTTTTGGGAAAATAATTATAAAAACCCAAAATTTGAGTGTATCGAAAAAAAACTGAATGTATGTCAGAGGAGTGGTCTATGTGCACATACATACCCATTTTAGAAGAATTGGTTCAAAAATCTGGTGGTTATTCAAAATTTTATGACGTCACGACAGACAAAAATTTTGAAAAAAAATGATTTTTTGAAGTTCTAGACCTCGTACGGAAACAGAAATAGCACCATTCGATTCGCCGTGAAAAACTGCATCAGATAGACACCTTTTTAGGCCTTAACAACCAACTTCAAAATTTGACCTCACTTGACCTGACCTTGACCTGACCTCGACCTGAAATTCATCCAGAGGTGGTCCATATCACTTATTGAGTTTGCCTTTGAATTCTATGAGTAAAATGACCCATGAAACATGTGTCGCACATGCCCTTTTCTATAATTTGTTTTTGGTGACCTGACCTGACCTGACCTTGAACTTGACCTTTGAATAACATTTTGTGCAACGAATATTGTCTTGGTAGTCTAAGAACACGTTTTGGGCAATCAGTCTCAGTCCATTCTTCGGCAACTACGGTGCAAGGCCAATACTGTAGAAACTTGCATTTTGTATCCTTGACCTGACCTTGACCTAACCGCTGACCTACTTAAGCAAAAAAGTTTGGGCTCTTAAGATCCGCCTTGTTGAGAGCTTTCGATTGCCGTTTTCCCCATTTTTCTACGACCATCGGTTCGGAAGTTAGACAGGGGGAAGAATCTGCCCCCCCCCCCCCCAGCAGGGCGCGTATGGCTGAATAGCCCAGCAGGGCGCGGGTTAACCTGGGCCGTCATGAGTATCAAAACTGAATCACTTTAATGAAATTGGATATGTCGTGAACGTTGTTTAAAATGTTTTTCCACCTTTCCAAATTCGATTTTTGCGTATTTTGCTTATTTCTTCTGGGTGATGAAATCTTATAATTTGGAAAGTCCGATAGAACACTTTGTTGATTCTTCCAACTCGACAGGGTATGTCCGAAACAATTTCAATAAAATGCTGTGGGAACCGAAATGGTGGCGATATCTGCTTCACTTTTAGAAGATGTAAAGGAGAAAATTGTGAAGTCATTTCGCCCAGCACTAATATGCGCATCATCATTAGTATTTCTCAACCACTGGCGAGGTGGGGCGAACGTAGCGATACATATATTTATATGAGCACAGTGAGCTGGCTCATAAACGCGCTCTCATTATCAGATATCGTAAAGACACGCAAAATGATGCATTCAAGACTCTGAAAAATGAAAGTCACCTTCCCATTCGTCTTCCCACTCCTTGGTGTCTCCTTTGGTTATATTGAGAAATCATAAATGATGTCATGTGTTTCCTTCTGGCAGATGATCTTCCGAGGCTCCAGCCTTTCGGAAGGTGGCGTCCGTGGGGACCTCGCTCCCACTGGACAACTGTTAACGTCGATTCACTCACCGCCTTCGATGTGAGTAGATCCGCCGATTCGCTCTCACCGAATGAGCACCGTTTGTCGTCCGAGTCTGCGTCGACTAGCGAGGAGCTGGTTTATTATATTATTTTTAGTATTATTGTCACTTGTAAGCACACACTGCTCAGTAGCCATTTGTCTCATTATGTAGTAATATGGATCAATGTCGATATTTCTCTCAAAATAACTGCATTTACGGTTAGAGTTTCGATGATAAATCTTACATACACAAAATCTGATAAATGCAGCTGTGAACGGTATGTTTGCTCAGCATTAGTTGGACCAAAAGAGGACCATCAGCGCGCCTCGGGCTGCTCAATATCATATCCGTTTAATATTTTTGAGCCGTTCAAAATGCATATCAGCTCCAAAATGTACATAATTCTACTTTTATTATGGTGATATTATGTAAATGGCATAGTGATAGTAGAGTAAAACAGTATTTATTAGAGGGCATTCAAAATTCTTGCCGACGTTTATGCCGTACATTTGGTACATTTATTTACGAACGCCATGTTTTAGCGCAAATTTGTTGATTCTTTCGCTCTATGGAGTCCATCACGAACTAATTTGTCTATGTAATATTCGTTCTACGGCTCATCCGCAATACATTGCCACATATGTAGTCATCAGCAAGAGCACCACTAAATATCCTTAGATTTTTTTTTAAACATTTTATTTAAAGCTTGATGAACTCTAGATGATTATTTTTTATGCATGGTTCCGATAAAACTTCTCCAAAAGTGTAACTAACATTGGGTCAAATTGATGAAATACTAGGACTTACTCCACAAGGAGATCGAATGGGTCGGAGCGCTTTCAATATGTATTATACATATCGTCGTCAGCGAATCAATAACGGGTCGAATCGAGTCGGGTATCGAAGAGGGTACTCGGGTACTCGGGTACTCGGGTAGTCGGGTACTCTTCGATACCCGACTCGATTCGACCCGTTATTGATTCGCTGACGACGATATGTATAATACATATTGAAAGCGCTCCGACCCATTCGATCTCCTTGTGGAGTAAGTCCTAGTATTTCATCAATTTAATTCCATCTCCACATCATGTCATTACGTTAACATTGGGTCATTATCCGGTAAAATCATTGTCCGGTAAAATCAATCATCATCTGCTTTCAGATTGTTCAACAATCCTTTTCTGACAAATGCCGTCAGGTGTTTTTTATCACCTTGTATTCTGTAATTGTTAATATTGTTTTGAACTTAGAATGAAAATGGAAAGTTTTACCATGTATTTAGATGTTCGTAAGGCAACTGGAACTGGTTAGCAGTGGGGAGGGGGAGGGGTGACTTGATAGGGAAAACAATGTGTTTTATGTAACTTGGCTGTTCTTGGCTGTTGTTTATGTAACTTGGCTGTTATGCAAGTGACTGTTCTCTATGACGTTGATATTTTTCGGATGTTCACTTGCACTCATATACGACAAACTTTGCTGCAATTTTGTTTTCCAAACATCTGCTTAAGCAGTTAAAACCCTCGCCGGCCGAGGGGGGGGTGCCGCCCCCCCCCATAGTTTTTTTTCGCGATAGCCCCGAAAACGCCGGCGATAGAGAGCTGAAAGCTGGCGTACCTGACCTTTGATTCAAGCCGGATCTTTTGACCCCAACTACATTTTCATGTCAGGTCAGGTCACTGACCTATGACGTTATAAGTAAACCTCTGCACGGTCTTCAGATGTCTCAACTTCGCAACGCCCTCACTGCCAGAGGAGCTATCACAGAGAGTTGAAACTTGCAGGACCTATTATCCATTAGGTGTCTCACAACTTGTTTATCTAGGATTTTTCCTAAAAGTCATATGAGGTCAGGTAATTTTCGTGACCTCACCATTATAAGTCAATCGGGAAAAATGAAAACTGCTATTCTGGCACCAGAAAAAAAAATATCCAACTATCTCAAGCACACAGAATCGTGGTTTCATGCACTCCTTGCAAGGCTCCATGCGTGACTTTTGCAATATTCACCTTGCGTGACGTCATTTATGACGTCATTAAGGTCATATTAGTTTTTCGTCAATAACTTCCGATCAAATTAAGCTAGCGAGTCGAAAAAGCCACCGAAGGACTCAAAAAGACCTGCCGAATCGAATTATATGCAACATGACCTCCTTCGACCAACTTCGTGAGTCGTGACCTGGGGGCGCTGACCTGACCGTAACCCGAGGTCAACACCCTAAGTTGACCTCAGCCAAAAAAAGTATATCATTCGACGCGCCTGAGAAAGGCAAACACGATGCTGCCAAAATCGCGGCTCTGTGGCCGTGTGTTGCGAAGTTATTTACCAAAAACTGAACCGTACCTTAGGGCACTTGACCTGACCTCAGAGGTCACCGGTGGACCTGGGACCTTAAAATCGGATATCAATCTCTGCGTCTTGAAACGGCGGCCACGCTCGTTTTTTTTCCGCGACGCGCTAGCTCCACCAGGGGCGAAACGGCAAGGGGGGTCGTACACCCCCCCCCCCCCTCGGCCGGTGCGTATGTAGAAAACCAATAGGTCCGGCGAGGGTTAAATCAGCGAATTTGATAATGCATATTGCATATTGATCGTGCATGTTAATTAGCCATGTCAAGTTGCTAGAAATTCGACTATGGATGGTATCGTTATCACAATTTTTCGTAATTCGTAATTGCCATCACTATAATATGAATGGTGTCGGCAAATTGCAGAGATGCATTTCATAAAAAGCAATAGACGGCTAAACTTCAGCTTCTCTCTACCGACTGCATCTTTCCGCGTATGCCCAAAAAATAGGGACCCTGTTAGTTCACTTAACTTTTTTTAATGTCGATATTTGAAAGTATGCCTTAACCCGCGCCCCGCTGGGCTATTCAGCCATACGCGCCCTGCTGGGGGGGCAGATTCTGCCCCCTGTCTAACTTCCGAACCGATGGTCGTAGAAAGACGGGGGAAATGGCAATCGAAAGCTCTCAACAAGGCGGATCTAAAGAGACCAAAATTTCTTGCTTAAGTAGGTCAGAGGAGAGGTCAAGGTCAGGTCAAGGGTATAAAATGCAAGTTTCTACATTATCGGCCTTGCACCGTAGTTGCCGAAGAATGGACTGAGACTGATTGCCCAAAACGTGTTCTTAGGCTACCAAGACAATAGTCGTTGCATACAATATCATTCAAAGGTCAAGGTCAAGGTCAAGGTCAGGTCAGGTCAGGTCACCAAAAACAAAATATAGAAAAGGGCATGTGCGACGCATGTTTTATGGGTCATTTTATGCATAGAATTCAATAGGAACACTCAATAAGTGATATGGACCACCTCTGGATGAATTTCAGGTCGAGGGCAGGTCAAGTGAGATCAGATTTTAAAGTTGGTTTTCAAGGCCTAAAAAGGTGTCTATCTGATGTAGTTTTTCACGGCAAATCGAATGGTGCTATTTTTGTTTCCGTAAGAGGTCTAGAACTTCCGAAAAAATTCATTTTTCAAACATTTTGTGTGTCGTGACGTCATAAAATTTTGAATAACTCCCACATTTTTCAACCGATTTTTCTGAAAATTGGTATGTGGGTGCACATAGACCACTTCTCTGATATATATTCCGGTTTTTTCGATACACTCAAAATTTTAAATTTTATAATTATTTACCCAAAAAAGTCAGTTTTTTAAAAGAAAAAAAATGGGCCAAAATCCCAAATTCTCAAAAAACGAGATAACCATTTGATAGAAAAAAGTAAAATCACGTATTAGCCTTTTGTTACGTCTTGATTACTTTAACCCGCGCGGGGCTGGGGTCTCCAGCCGAACGCGCGGGGCTGGGGGGGGGGGTAAATTTTACCCCCCTGTTATCTCCCGAACTAATGGTCTGATTTGGAAAATTCAAACGCCAATCGAAAGCTCTCATCACAAACTACTAAAAACATGTTCTTAATTTAAAGTTTGAGGTCAAGGTCAAGGTCAGGTCAAGGGTACAAATTGCAAGTTTCAACAGTATCGGCCTTGCACCGTAGTTGCCGAAGAATGGAGTCATGGACTGAGACTGATCGCCCAAAACGTGTTCTTAGGCTACCAAGACAATATTCGTTGCATACAATATCATTCAGAGGTCAAGGTCAAGGTCAGGTCAGGTCAGGTCAGGTCACCAAAAAACAAAGTATAGAAAAGGGCATGTGCGACACATGTTTTATGGGTCATTTTACTCATAGAATTCAATAGGCACACTCAATAAGTGATATGGACCACCTCTGGATGAATTTCAGGTCGAGGTCAGGTCAAGGTCAGGTCAAGTGAGGTCAAATTTTGAAGTTGGTTGTTAAGGCCTAAAAAGGTGTCTATCTGATGCAGTTTTTCACGGCGAATCGAATGGTGCTATTTTTGTTTCCGTACGAGGTCTAGAACTTTCAAAAAAGTCATTTTTCAAAAAAATTGTGTGTCGTGACGTCATAAAACTTTGAATAACTCCCACATTTTTGAACCGATTCTTCTAAAATTTGGTATGTAGGTGCACATAGACCACGTCTCTGACATATATTACGGTTTTTTCGATAGACTCAAAAGTTTGGATTTTATAATGATTTTCCCAAAAAAGTCAGTTTTTTGAAAAATTTAGGCCCAAATCCAAAATTTTCAAAAAACCGAGATAGCCATTTGATAGACAAAGTAAAATGACGTATAACCTTTTTGTTACGTCTTGATTCCTTTAAAAATGAAGATGTAAGCGGCGTTTGAACTTTTGCCGTTTTTGAGGCGAAAATGGCGAACATGACGTCACTAAAACGTCAATTTCTCAAAAATTTTCCGACAGATTTCGCTCAAATTTTCAGGGAACGTGTCAAATTGATGTAAAAAAGGTACTGCAAGTTTGGCGGCGCTGCGCGCCGCCGTTTTTGAGATATCGCAAAAATTCGCGAGAGGGGGGGTAAAATTTACCCCCCCCAGCCCCGCGCGGGTTAAAAACGAAGATGTTAGCGGCGTTTGAAATTTTGCCGTATTTGAGGCGAAAATGGCGAACATGACGTAACTAAA